TCTAAGTCTATTACTAGATAAGTAGAAGGTAGAGACCTCTACCTCTAAGCTACTAGGAGAATAAGTAGCTACTTCCACTACCTTTAGCAGAAGCTCGCATTCTAATAACTCTAACTTCTACTTATAGCCCGTGCGACCTAACCCTAACATATACCCGCGGCCCGTGCGACCACTACCTAACCTCTACCTAACACTGTGGTAGGGTATACCCGTTTACCAGTCTACTACTACATTTAGTGCGGGTGTTGCATTAGCTGACCTGTAGCATGCACTGACCACATCTAGCACAAAGAATCCCGATCGTATCTGGCAACAAAATTGCGAAACGTCAATGAGAAACTCTCTTTATTCTAAGCCTATCCACACAGCCTCAAGTACACATATAAAGGTCAGTGGATTAGCATCGACCCTCGTTACTTTGTAACGCTCATCAGCTGCCTTGAATATCTCTTTCCATGCCTCTACCGGCCTTTCCTTTACGTTGAACAAGGCCATCATCCTCAAATCTGTAGCTGTCCCGAAACCCTGAATACTCCTCGGTAATTGTTCTTCTGTTGGGGCTTGCTTTCCGACATAGTCAATAAATATGATGCGTGCACCAGGATGTAGTGCGGGAACCAAAGAGCGGAGGATCTTGACAGATTCTCCGTCAGGCCAGTCGTGTAGAATCCATTTGACCATGTATATGTCAGCCTTGACTGGCTGTGGCTCAAAAAAATTATGTGTCCGAAAAGAGACACGATCCCGAAGGTCCTTAGGAAACTCTTTCTCAAAGACGGGAGCAACTTCATGGAGATCTTGAACGATAATCTTCAGGTTGGGAAAGCTTCGTGCAAGAATCTGGTCATCGTGTCCTGCTGAGCCACCGAGCTGTGAACGTTGTCAGTATCGGGAATACTTGGAAGGGAATCATGCTCACATCAACCACCGTGACCTCTCCTGCGCCAGCCCAATCTATGGCATTCAACATAATGTCCTCCGTGGAGAATACATCTTTGATGAATGCCATAAACTTGACAAAGTTCCTCTGCCGCCACCCCTTGCTCATTTTCTGGTACCCAATATCACCCTCAGTCAATCCATCGTTTTCGATGAAATCCCAAGAGTTTTTGAAGTCTCCCCAAATACCACCAGAGTGGCACAACCTGAATGCCGTTTCATTAATATCCTTTGTACTCTCGGTCTTGCCTTGGGAATATCTTCTCAAAGCTTCGGGTAAGATAAACATTGGTGGACCCGTCTCATTAAGGACAATTTGTACAAGCGCCATAAGCCTGGAATCTCGTACAAATGCGGCGCTGCGCGAGGTGTGTCTTACTCTCGTAGCTGTAGGAGATGGCTTGATAAAAAATCGCATAGTAACAGCGTGATCGATGATCCTTGAGACAACATCTAAGGGTAACTGGGTATGCTTGGCAATATCTTCGAATGTAGCTTCGCCGTCTATCGGCACTGCATTCCAAAAATCGAAGTGGTTCAAGACGTTTAGACACGACGCATCGGGGATTGCCATGTGAACATAATTGAAGACGGAATCAAGAGGACCTTGACTGAGAATCCAAAGATCCTTCATTGTGTCTTCGAGGAGTTGTCGAGTGTAAAAGAAGTCGGGTGGACATTTCTCGTATTTGATAGGTGAGTCGGCTTCGAGCGTGACAGGTTTGATATTTTCTGCCTCGAGTTGCTTCATCTGATCTGCAAGATCTTTGATTTTATCAGCAAGACTGTTCAGCGTCGCCACCTCTCGCTTCTTGTCTTGAATAGAACCCATGTTGAGTAAGGTCAGTTTAGTCAAAACGTGATGTAGGTAAGGATGATAAAGAATGAATACCAGGATGTACGGATAATGCACACACTTTTATATTGAGATCATCGGTCCTAAGGTGGCGGTGATCGGGGCATCCACATGGCTTAGCAGATAAAAACGTCATGACAGATATAGAAGGAGGTTAGGGAGGAGTGTGGGTGGCCAAGACTTTAGGTGAAGCCAGTGTAGGTAGGTTTATGTCTGAATATAACCTATGTTGGCATTTCAACCAGTTACAAGCCCTACCTAAGCACCTACCCCTACTCTCACAACCAGTGACCTCACCCTACCTCCACTCAAAGTATTGGCAACCCTTCTTGTTGACGGCAAACCCCGGCGGCTTGAATCCCTGGAGCGATTCATAGTTCAGATATGGCCACGGTGATCTAGTGCTGGTTTGGGCATGAACAAGGCTGGAAGCCAACGACGCGATGAGGAAACTTTGAAACCGAAAGTTAGAGAGTTTTTGGAATTAAAATCACAGATGTACAGGACACACGAGTCTTCGTCACGGAAGTCCTCATACATCCAGTGTGCACATCGCTGGTATAAACAGTGTGCCCCTTAGGAGTGGGGCTTTGGATGGAGGCAACAACGCACAAAAGTTTTCATGCCTTTTCCTCACCTATTCTCAATGCGAGTATCATGCCACAATATGCAAGTTTCAGGCCATTGGTAAAATGTCTGCGGCGTCGCTCCACCGCAGTGGATCATATTATCAATCTTATCTTATCAGATGATGATCAATCCGACATTGGGTATCGCGGAGATCCCTCGGCGGCCTTGGCAATAATAATCAGATCATGATTTTTGCGCCTTTAAAAGCGTGGTCGGAAAGCTGGATGGATCGGGTAGATGATCAGTAAACACGAGAACCCGCCAGGATTATGCCACAGGTACGGGTTGGGTACAGTTGTGAAAAAGATGATAGCAACCGTGAAACTCAGCACGCGGCCGTGAACAATTCCAAAGACTTACAGAGATCAATTAACTTGTTTCTTCCCGCATTAGTTAACAAGCCTTACTTTAGATATATTAATACCAAAAAAGTTATTCATAAGTCATACCCGTAATGACATGGGATTTATGTTGCAAGTTACTCAAGACACATAATGACGTATCACGTGAGGAAACATTAGTTAACGGTAATCAATATCTGTGTCATTTGGATAGACTTTAACTTCGTACTTTTAGGAGTGTCTATTTGTTTAGTTGAAATATCAAGTGATAGGTTTGTGCCTAAGGTTACGGCACTCGCGTACCTTGGTGTACATTATGACTTCTGGCCTCTAACTCCTGAGGGACATTGATTGCCGCTAGTTCTGCATCTTCACTTGGGCCCAACTCTCCATATCCATGATTCGACCACAGCTCATGTAAATGAACACCTAACTGTTGCTTTTCGGCCTGTGATACATCCGCATGCAGCGTGCTTCCGTCTGAAGGTCTGTCTTTTCCCCTGATGGACTTTGTCGACCTGGTTATCAGCCATGCGATTGCAGTCACCATGATTCCAAAGATTGCTATACCAACCCCAATACCAGCTTTTTCGCCTGTACTAAGACCACCTGATGAGATGTCTCCCTTGAAGGCAGAAGATGAGGTAGGTGTCAAGGCTGACGATGTTGTTGTTGAGGAAGCGGGTGTCAATGACGAAAAGGGCATCGCTGAGGAAAGAGTCGATGTCGAACCCACGGTTGCTGCGATTTCGAAAATACTGCTCTTATTATTACAACAGGTCTTCTCTCCACAGCACCAGGTTTTCCCTCCGCAGTTGTGAACGCCCACATTGCCCCATTTGTCGGCGTACTATAATGTCTAATTAGCGACATCCTGACGCGGAGTAGTGGGCAGAATACTTCTGGTTTGTTACAAACGTCTCCAAGACAGTACGGGCTGTTCCACAGTGGGTCTGTACAGCCCTGTCTTGACCAAACTTGCTCACCCTCGTTGTTCCCGTCGAATGCCGCATAGTTCTGACAAAGGCCATTTTCCATGCACACATCATCTGCGATGCCGACGTCTCCGGCGCCGCTATGGTTCGTCATGCAGCATGCGGAATATTTTGTGGTGTTGTTACATGGTTGGAAAGCAGCGTTGAGAAGAGTAGTGCCATTACGGCTGTAACAGTAACCGGCTGCGCTGGCGATCTGTGATATGACTAGAAGGAGATAGAGAAACATCATTAAGTGTAAGAACGCTCAGCCGGCACTGAAGGGACCCTGGGCTGTAATGTAGATTGCCTGGAGCAGGCGGGGATGAGAGTGGCGTGTTCGAAGGATTTCTTCCGGTTGCAAGTGTGCCTCAGCCTTGCACCTAGCGACTTGTTCAAAGTCCTTCATTGGCCGAGATAACAAACCGTGCATATGGAGGTATAAATACATAGCAGTAGATCAGGATGACTAGATTCGCCAAGCTACTGTCGTTTCATGTAGGCGCGCGGAACACAGTGAACCGTGTTTTTACATACACGTGAACCAATTGAGAACAGGATGTAAGCGCCGGCTCTAACTTCTTCCCTGGGGCGGTTACTGCTACACAAAAGAGGCTACTGTAGGTGGTCCTGGCTTGCAACTCGCCCCTGAGGTTTTCGACTTCACTCTAGCTCTATCAGCGAAAAGTAGCCATCATTGTCAACATAAAGAAGTGTCGCATATTTCAGTGTTGTTCCCATGAAAACGGTGCTCTGTTGTTAAAGCCGACAGGCTCTTCAGTCGTGCGAGCATCGATTTCCGCCAAGCATTCATGGCGAGCAAAAGCGACACATCGAAGAGAAAGAAGCCCTATGCGACCAGAAATTGCTGGTGGATAAAGGCCTTGAGAAGACGTCGTGTGGATGGAAGAGTTGAAGGCAGTCATAGAGGTGCTTCGCGAGGAAGTTTCTTACACGGGTTTAGGTCCATGCAGCAACAGGCAGCGGGCAGCGGCTCAGCCTCACCTGGAGAGAGGCAACAAGAATCCGGACCTCTCTGCTTTCCAACAAAGCAGTTCGACCAATTTCCTGCGATCTGTATTCCCCAGTGATTGCTGCTATTCTTCACTTTTCACGGAGCTGGTCTTGCTGTTAGCAACTGTTTTTTTTTTAACAATGCTGTAAAATGCTTCGAATACACGCATATTAGTCCCGCCTTTAGCATCGATTTTGGATCTGCTTACTCAATTTAGGTATTGCGTAAATGTGACCTTCGCTTTGAGGCGGGTCTGTTAGATAAGGCGGTGACATCAGCTTCGCTCATAGCATCCGGATAGTTTCAGGACCACTGAATGACGCCACTGCAGCCGAAAGATTGCAGTTGGAGATAAACGTCCTCTTCTCAGATGGGGGGGTTACTTCCAAGCAATGCAAAAGCGGCATTTGTGCATTTGATGAAACCCCTGCAATTCTCGATGTAGCCACGGAGATAAAGTCTCTAGGACAGACGTTAGCCGTGAAGATACTCATGGCTGGGCGGGATTGCTGTGGAAAATGCCGTGTCGTGATGCTGGCACTGTCGCAAGTTTTCGATTATCCCACGGCTGTATATGAATCTGTTGAAGGTATTCATCTCCAGTCAATGTTCTTTAATTCTTAGATCGTGTGAGCAACAATGAACTTATGAACGGCGCCGGCTTTCCGGTTCGAAGTGTTGTACAATATAAGATGTTTGGGCAGCTCAAGGGGATGTTGCCTCTGGTGCAGTCGATTGTCGAGCACCAGCGTATCGATTGTCAAAACCAAAGCTTCGAAGCCTCCCCTTTTTGCCCGCTGAACAAAGGCTGCTGCAGTACCACGGGGCCCCAGAAAGTAGAGCTGGAACCAGGGTCTGGGGTGATTATCATCACGAGGCGGCAAGGAGTGCATGACATCCTCCAAAAAGGTAGTCGCATTCGAAGAAAGCGTGAAATTAGTACCCATGTCGAAACTGGCGGCGGACGAATCCAATTCTCCTCCGCTGCTGGCAAGTCGTTGATACGCGCTGGGCACAAGCGCTATCAGGATGTTGTAACGTTTATCGAAGATGGTTGTTGTCATGTCTATGACAGAAACTTTTCTGAGCATCCTTGGTTGCAGCAGCTATCTTGTCACGAAAGTGTAAGTAAGTTGATATTCTTGAGCTATGATCAATTTCATCTCACTTTTTGTAAATGTCTTCATTTCAAGAGACGGTCCAATTATCGTGTGCTCCAGTTTCCAGGTATTCCCAAACATCATCCGGGAGTTTGAGGTTGGCAATCTCTTCCATGTCTGCGAGCGTGTATGCTGTACGGCCATGCGTTGTTGACATAGTGGTAGCCGAAATGTCCAAATTGTCCGAAAAACATTGTCTTCATGTACGGTTGACAATGAAATTTGTATCGCAACATGGCTATATACCAGAAGTTGTTCATGTCACGTATATGATCATCGTATGGGTTATAAACTACAGAGGTCTCGAGAGCTCGCCAGCGGTCAGCTGTTGGTAATAAGCTCCGCCCGCGCCTTCGCTGCAATCAGTTTCCATCGATGCGGTCGCTTGGCTTCTTCGGAGCTCTGAAGATCTCAAATGGATACCTTTCCTTGTTTGGCTCCGAGAGCTCGGACCGTGGCCGATGTAGAGCAAGGAACTGCGATCAACCTGTAGAGAGGCAGTGTCACAAGGGCAGTGCTTACTCAGTAGTCTCTCGAAGCGGTCGCTGGCACCGATACACCCTGGGCGCTACGTAGGTATCTGCTAGTGATACTTACGGACAGGAGAGTGGGCCCGTCTTGGACATTCAAGTAGAAATGCCTCTCTAGGAAATGGTTCCCTCTTCGTCTCAATTTGTAAATTCGCAATCAAGTTGTCAAGCTCAGCCAGCTGTACAACGCCATTATGTCACTTCACACCAGCACACATGCCATAGCCGACGAGGAGAGGTACTCGGCTCACAACTATGTGCCCCTCTCTGTTATTTTTGCTCGTGCCCGGGGTGTCAACGTTTGGAATCCCGAAGATAAGCACTACTGCGACCCCCTGTCAGGTTACAGTGTGGTAAACCAAGGCCATTGCCACCCCTAACTCGTCAAAGTTCTTGCTGAACAGGCTGGACGATTGACCCTCAGTTCTCGTGGCTTCTACAACGATGTCTTTCCGCAGTGGGCAAAACTAGTCAACAGAGTCTTTGGTCATGACATGGTTCTCTCAACGTGTACTGGAGCCGAAGCAGTCGAGACTGCAATTAAGATCACCCGCAAGCGGGCATACAAGGTCAAGGGTGTTGCACAGGATGAAGCATATATCTTTGGTGCATCTCAGAACTTTCACGGACGGACGGTAGGTACCACGGCTCGTAGAGAATCTTTAGTATACTAAGTCTGCAACTACAGATGACCGCGATTACTCTCTCGGTAGATCCTCTGTCAAGAACAAAGTACGGCCCCCACGTGCCCAGAGTTGGTGCATGCAACCCGACGACTGGCCAAGCGATCCAGTACAACAACACCAATGACCTTAGGGATGCTTTTGAAGAATACAGTCACCAGACCGCGGCGTTCATCTGTGGGCCCATACAAAGAGAAGCGGGAGTTGTCGTCCCCGACGATGAATATCTGGTCCAGGTGTCAGCTCTCTGCAAGAAACACAACGTCCCTTTTATCTGTGACGAAATCCACACGGGTACAGGACGTACTGACAGAATGCTATGTCATCAATGGACAGGTATCAAACCAGATCTGGTGACCGTAGGCAAGGCTCTTTCAGGAGGCATGTATCCAGTCAACTGCATCCTTGGTGATACCGAGGTCATGTCGGTGATCAAGCCCGAAACCCATGGATCCACCTTCGGAGGCAACCCTCTAGGCTGCGCTGTATCCATCCGTGCCCTTGAGCTCATCGAGGAGGAGGAACTCATAACAAAAGCCGGCCATTTGGGACAAATTCTCAGGGAGGGTCTGCAGGCGATGGACACAGACGCTTTCCGCATCATCCGTGGCAAGGGCCTGCTTAATGCCGTGCTCATCGATGACAACAAGACCAACGGTTGGACTGCCTGGGACTTGTGTCTGGCTATGAGAGACAGAGATCTTCTGGTAGGTGTCATTCATTGCTACAAGGTGTTATTGAACCATCAACTGACTTCAGTAATAGGCTAAACCTGCGAAGGGCGATACGATCCGTTTCGCGCCACCATTAGTCATTACCGAGACTGAACTTCGCAAGGATCTTGCAATTATCAGAGAGAGCATCAAAGCGCTAAGCTCAGGGTAATCCTCGAGGATCAACTGTTATTCATGGCATTGGACAAGTTTGATTGGTCAAGTACGAAATTGGGACATTGTAGTTGGGATTCTGCAATCTTCTTTCTCTGGTGACGTGAGACAAAACGATTTGCATTGCATCATTCAAACTCAATTTTGTTAACTATCTGTAGATAAAACACGTCTCTATTGCAGCCTTTCTCAGCACTTCGATTACGTTCTGACTTTTATCACACTCAAAAGCTAGAGGTAAAAGACTGAATTATTAAATAACAAGTACATCTTCTAGAGTTGTGCAAGCAGTTATTGTTTCATATTTTGTTGATATTTCATACACCCAACCAGCTCTAGTGAAAATTTATGTTAGAGAGATGTGAATTACTTGAGCGAAATGACAGCGTTGTCCAATCATTATGTGATCTTCAGGAACTACAACCTGCTCTCCCAGAAAGGCTTATGAGATGCACCAAGTGCATTCATTATGCAGCCTTTGGAAAACAGTGAGGACGCTCTCGGCATTTGGCCAGTATTCGGCCATCCTTTCGAGCAGCCGTGACAGACGACTCAAGCGATTGATCGACTCTATCGCGACCAAGTGACCACCCTTTCCGATGGTTGTACATATGTCATTCACCGTCTGGTAACCGACAGCGGTGGCTGCTCCAACGCCAGTAAAGGCACATTGTGCGATGCAACCCATAGTCGCAAGCTTCTTGAATGATATCAAGATGCCGTGCGCAGAGACTATGCTTATTTTTTGACTGCTCGCACTGGTGGAAAGAGTGCGGTGGAAGTATGACAGCATGAGGTTGTAGTGTATACGTAGCAGACATGAGATTGAATCATCGTGGTCTGTGGATGCTGTCGAAAGACCTGCTTGTAAGGCCCAAACTGCAAGGCGGGTAGTGATCTTGCCGACGTCGACTGGCTCTGTGCGCGGGGGGGCATTGGCTGATAAAACGTCAACACCAATCAGCGCTAGCTCTAACATACGATTCAAGAGATGGAGTCTGGGATCCAGATCTGATGACACGGCCCCTGGTAGGTGGAGGTTTGTAACCTCCTCTACATTCATTAGTACTTGATCAATATCTTCACCTCTGACAGTGCATGGCCGGCCCGTCTCGAGCGCCGAAAAGGCATCTGAGACGAAAGAAGCCCACCAGCAACGTCTGTACGTACCTAGTGGATACCCAATGAGGCAGCAACGAACTCTTCCGATGTGCACCCAAGCCACACCCAACGCGCGCTGCTACACCAGACCAATACCACGGTCCAGAGGCTACCGTATCTCCATCGCTTACATGCCATGTGAATAGGAAAGGAGCTTGGATTAGTTGGGCACGGTCGTTCTCGCGACGGAGGTGATATAACATGCTCGCGCGGCGGAATAGCACACTCTTCACGGCATGGCAATCTTCGGCAACCAAAGGGTGCGTACAGCTATGAGCGCCAGCAAATAACAATGCTTGGAAGAGTAGCAGATGGGGTGGATTCTGGGGGTTGCTGTATGAATCCATAAATGCTGATTGTGATATGATTGGGAAACTACGGTGGACGTTGTCAAAGTATGCCTTTACCAGGGCATCTCGTACTTCTTGTGCAGGGAGGCTTGACACATCGGCAAGAATGTCTCGCGAAAAGGCGAGAGACTCGGGCGCAGGAGTCTATTGGGGAAATGTCCTAATGGGTGGATACGGATAGTGGCGGGCGGTTTCCAGCATCGTCATCTCAACGCTTGTGTCACCATTGGCATGCCAACCATAGTCATGCATTTGGGGCACAGATGTGCTCATCTCACCTAGAGACAGTGACAAGGAGTTTTCTGGCAATATGCGCAGTGCCAGATGAAGGCGAACCAGTTGTGCAAGGTCGGAGAAATTGGTGCCCGTGTATGCAACTCGAAAGGAGTTTTCTGGATCGAAGAGATTCCAATTCTAGGCAGTTATGCCTTCACCAAAGAATTGAGAAAGGCAATTCCTGGCGCGTCCCAAACGGTCTTGGATTGAATCTGCAGCGCCATCCTGCTCAATGGCGTCATGCCCATTCGGGTGCGACGGCAGAGTGGGAGGATTTGATGATTGCTCCTGCTGTGATGTTGGCGTGATGACTTGAGGGCCCGTTTCTTGAGTACGCCCACTAGTTACTTGGGATGGCTCATCAGCACAAGTGCTGATGCGAGAAGATCAAGTCATTCAGGCAAATGTCTCGTCTTGAACCGTTGCATTTCGTACCGACAAGATTTTCGTAGCTTGCGGCAGACGGAGCAGGACGTGCGGTCAGGCAACGCGCTCAGACACTCAGCATACTAACCTTTTTCCGAAGATGAATAAACACCTCGTAAGTTGTAGTTAGCTCTTTGTCGAACACGATCCATTGTAAACCAACGCGATTGCTCCACGAAGCGCAGCCCCTCACAGCGTAGAAGTCAAAATTAGTATGGCCCTAGCATGTGCAGACACTTGCCTAACTCAGAAGTTAGTACAAGTGAGCGTACGGTCACAGATTTTCTATCCTTCTGTTTTTATCTAATAGATACATATCGGTTCCCAGCAATGTTGGGAAATAGTCTCGGCAACTTCACCCTCCATAACGCCATCAATGTAAGAATCCCCAACCAACAAGAACTTGCGCGTGTTCTTTTGTCGCAGCACGAAGGGGACTGTAGCACCGCCTAGGAGATACAACTCATCACCGATCTGACTACAGGCCGGTACAAGCCCAAGATAACCCTGTTCTGTGACAGCGATGCGCCGGTCGCGGCATGCCACCAGTGCCTGATTCTTGTACAAACCAACAGGATTTGCTGAACCAGGCATCAAGTACGGATTATCAGAGGAAATATCGGCCACCACGGCCGCGAGTAAAAGGGCCGGGTTCTCAATGGGCTATGTTGTGACTGTCGCATTGTCCCGTTGTAGTCGTCACCCGTGATGTGAGTTATAGCAACCGCATGTTGGGTTCCTGGTAAAGTCCTAATTTTTCCTCAAAAACAGCTTCGTGAAATACCCGCGCTGAGTCATTGTACCACTGGAACCACTGGAATAGGGTTTCTTCCAGCGCAATACCCATGGCGCCGCCAATTGTTGAAGGCCCATTCACAGTCTCCGCACTCTCAATCGTTGCCGTTTCCTTCTCTCCTGTTCTCATATCCTCGTCGCTTTTGCTAAAACTCGTGATATTACCTATGCTGTGCCCAATATGCGTGATGAATCATTCATTCGTCTTATACTCTCCAAGCGCCTACATGATAGGTGGTTTGCCCTTTGAGGCGTTGAAGGGCTTCTTGCGGATGATGGATAAGACGGCAGCACTTGTGATGTCATGTGCCAGCCAATCTGGTACCCAAGATGGCAGTGCCGTGTTTTGCATTGTATCCTGCTGAAGCTTTTGTTTGCGAGAAATGTCAGCAAAGGATGGCAGCGCAGTGCGATTGGAAAAGTTGAATTCCGTAAGATGTAGTTTGCGAAGTGGTAGAATAGTTCTTCAGTCGGCCACGCGTATTCCGGCTCAAATATCTCTTTTGCCAATGTCGGTATGTATCAACATGCCTAAAAAGCCGACAACCTTGTCCCGTGGGTTTGAAACTCTGCAATCTCGCGTCCTCCACAGAAGCTGCATAGGCTTCAGCCTCCCAGCTTTGAACTCCAACCTGATACGTGGATATGGTCGAGAAGTCCCATCATCTAATGATGCTGCATGTTTATTATGGTATGTTTATTTTGCAGCATCATGAGATGCAATGCCGATACTATATCGTTCCACTTGAAATTGAAACGCCCATATCGACAACGAATTTCGTTGGCTAAAACGGCTTCTTGAATTTTTCATGTTCTTTGCAGCCAAGAAGATGTGAATATGACACAAAAGTGGTGCCATTCGACATGACTGAATGGCGGTAATCCAACTCGTTCCTGCAGTTGCTCATCAACTAAATCCTCCACACGCTCATCTAGCATTTTCCTGACCACGCAAATTCGAAGCGTCAAGTCGTAACCGACAGAATACTCCATTGGCGCGTCTCCGGAATCAATGAAGACAATCAGTGCGCCCCTGTAGATGTCGTCCATTGATACTAGTTGTTGATTCAGCTCCGTTGCTTCCATCTGGTTAATGCAAATAGCGTCAACCCAAAGAAACTCCGGTTTCTCAACCCAGTCGCTTCTGCGGCGCTTAAGGCATGCATTTAACGAGGCATTGATATCAAGCCTTTTACCATTGCATATAATCGCGTGGTCAAAGACCGGGCCACACCAATCGTATGAAAGAGCGCCGAAATTAGGACAGTGTGGGTCACCGAGGTTGATGGTGATGAGATCCGTGACCATAACATCTGATCTGAAGACAGTCGGATGAAGTCGCAGAACGCGAATCTCGCCTGAATTAGAGTTCATGGGAGTGTATTGAAAGTCGTCTGAGGGGGGTTGTGTTGGGTTGTTTTGCACTAGTGGCAGGTCATATACGATATGATCTCCAACGGTTGCACGATATGGATTGTGGCCAACTTGCAGTGGCACAAGTTCAACAGGACCATCCCCACTGCAGCTTCCGTCACAGTGCTCGTGTAGCTCGCATGTGATATTTGAAACTGAGATCGCCGCCATCTGCGATGCAAAGTTGGCTGCAGCCTGCATCAACCTTGGGGTATTTTCTCGATCCTGACCTTCCGGCGTGTCTGCGTCCATGACTGAACGGGCGTGTAGATGTGTCTTTTACGTAAAAGAAGCTTTGGGAAATGGGGGCCAGGAGATGCATTATTAGATTTGAATGGAGGACAAAATGAAACTTTGTTCTCAAGACTTAGCTGAGAGCAAAGACCTCTTGAATGAGTACAGGCAAAATCCAATGTGATACAAGTCTTACGCGCATCCCAGGCTATACGCATCATGAACAACTTCATTCGTTCATGAGACGCAACCTTAGATGCTGGCTGGTGTTCAGCGATGTAAGGCTGTGGGGGCTTCTATTGATTTTGTGCCAAAATCCAATAGGAAGATACAACGCTAGGCACGTTGTGCATGAATTTATTCAGGTGCGCCTTGTCATGATCATTTTTGTTTTAGGGTGGGGCCGTGTATCCTCGCTGGGTAGTATACAGCCTAGAATGTGGCGAGGTGCGGCTGATGACACAGCCAGGACAGTTGCCTATCTACGATCCCCGACAGGATTAAGGTCGGAATGGATCTTGATACTAAATTTCTTGGAGAGCTTGCCAACCTCAATCCTAACCATATGGTTGCTGCCGACAATCTGTTCTGGGTTGGTTATTATTATTTATTATTATTATTTTAGTTTAGCGTCCTGTGTCAGCCGGTAGGCTATATAAGACGTGCAGGCTAGGCCTACAAGTATCTACGTAGTTCTATCAA